ATTTCAAAAAAAAATACGTTTTGACAATATTCCTCAGTGTAGCATTTTGAAACTGTTCTAAAGGAAAAGCATGGGAGACAAGAACCGTTTTTCTCAGATGCATATTTCTTTTTACAGTTTAGAATTGTACTTTTTTAAAATAGTGAGATAACTGTAATAGTAGAGGTTTAATAAACTCAAATTTGCATTTTACAAGAAATGAAATAACCTTCTACTATTCATTGTAATGTATAATATCGAAAATGAGTCATTCCTTCTGATAAAAAAATCGAAACATCTGAAGTATGATTAAAAAGTCAGTCATTTGAGAAGTTTCATTGAAGGCTGGTGACTTTTTAAAAATTAGTTTTGGTAGATATTCTTAGCCAAATTACTTCCTTACACATTAATGTAAAAATGTCTTAGAGTGTATGGTACTAAAAATACGTGCACATTCATTGGTTTTTTTGACTAATAAAATATTATACGCGTATTCTTCATTAAGATTCTCTCTTCAGTGAGTATTACTAGATCTGATCAATGGACTACCTTCATTAAATAATAGAACAAAGAAAACAAATTTCCTAATCGTAATGATGAATATAATTTTTTTGTTTATTTGTTGTTCAAGAATCCTCCTCAAATCATCGGGTAGGGAATATCTTTGTTTTGTATCAGACTCTTGTTTATTTAAATCTTGTCAATCTTTGTCTTTTTTTCACAATTTCTTCAATAACCATATCGTCTTTATAAACTTTATCGTTTTCTATTAGAACAAGAATCAGGAACATTATTCTTCTCATAAGATAGTTTCTAAAAATTTTATATGGTATATTTTTTGACTCAGATAAAACTCTAAAGATGGACTACAAAACGATTTAAAGTGTCGACTAAGATATACAATGAAAAATTGTTTTCAGTATGAATTGTGCATTACCAGTATTGAATAGATCACATTTAGTAGCTCAAAACTTTTGCTGTACGTAACTGGAGAGAGAATTTCGATGAAATTATATAAATATAATATTTGTTAATCAAAAAAAAATGATGAGAACGAATGTTGCACATATACATTCTAAGACATTTTTACATTAATGTTTAAGGAAGCAATTTCTGAAAGTAAAATTTCAAATTTATAAATATTCTTAGTCGACACGATTTTTCGATGTACTCATAAAGTTTCCCTTAATAATTTATATGTAATAAAATAAACTTCCGTCAAAAATAAATTGAACAAGTGTTGTTGATCATTTATTATTGAACAACAACTTAGTTTCTTTTTAAAAAGCTCTAAATTATTTACAAATATATTTTGTTTTTTATTTCCGAAAAGCATGCTTATGATTAAATCATAAGAATCTAAATAATTCCACACACACACACACACACACACACACACACACAAATACAAACCTAATTTAAAGAGAATTTATAAGAGAAAGAAAGAAAAAAAAACCTTCTGTTATTTCCTTGTAAAAAGAAATAAAAATATTTACGTGAAAAGAGGAATGAGTTCTTTTTTCCTATGCTGTGTTTTTTTTTTTTTTTGAACAAACCATCTGGGCATTCAATATTTTTAATTAAACGAGAACGAGACAGAGAGAGAGAGAGAGAGAGAGACGATCGATAACGATAAATCATAGGTGCGTTGGCATTGATGTTATTTAGTGCAATCACCATTTCCGTTATTTCTATATTTGGTTAAGCAGTTATTAAAAAAAACTTTTCCATTTTATTTCCTACAATGTCCAGCTTTTTTTCTCGAAATTTATCACATCCTGATAAAAATTTTCTCATAATAAAAACAGAGTTGAAGCTGACAAGAATGCGTATTCTTTAACACATACACGATTAGTTTAATTATTTGAGATTTATAGAAAACTCTATTATAATGATCATGATGAACCCGGTACAGAGAGTGATTTTAAAAAAGAAAAATGGCATAAACAGATTAACATTAAAACGATAGGAGACCGGTATTTTTCAAATTACTGACATCGATTTTGTACGGCAGAATGTGTCACTAAACTTTTTGAATAGTAAAATGATAGAAAATAAAAAAATGACGACAAGCGGTGTTCAAAAAAACCTTATACGAAATCATTGAAACAGAAGAAGAAAAAAAAAGCCAGGATATTTTATAGAATATACTAGGAAATAGTTACTTACTTCAAACATCTTATTGTACATTAAGTACATTTTTAGTTTTTCTTCAAAGGTCATTTCATACTTAAGGATTATACACACACACCACACACACTCACTTATACACAAATTGGTTTGCTGACTGATTATTAACAATAAAGAAAAGAGAACCGAATAAAAATCTCCACAATTTAGTTAAACTTGATTATAATTTATTTAAAAATGACTAATCCCCTCCCCCTCCCTCGCGTAATAGAAACCCCAGGGGCTTCTAAACTATTCAAGCGTTCAAAATTTTTAGGGGAGGCTTCTAATAGGTTCCACTATTTTTCAAGAATTTCACGTACAAAATTTTTGTAACAACTTTTAGGGTTTTTCAGAGCTTTTCGAAGAGATTTCAAGGGGATTTCGATATTCTCATGCTTGTATGTAAAATTTAAACGAGTTTTTACCTTAAAATTCTGAAAATTTGACAGTTTTTACTTTAGAAATACTAATAAAACTTTCCGAAAATTTCAAAATTTTTTTCAAATGAGGGGGCTTCTAATACATTTTTCACATCGACCTCACCAAGGAAGGCTTCAAATAAGGGGGGGCTTCTATTATGGGGGAGGGGCTATCACAATATCTATTTTTCAAACAAAAAATCATTTATCTTTTGAGAAAATCGAACATTGAATCGAAAAATCGTTAAAATTTGACAAAATAAATATAAAAACAATAGACATTTTTTTTATTTGATTGGTGGTATTCGTTGTTTTATTAATGTGAATATTCTAATTCAACTATTTTTCTTTTTTAACTTAAAATAGCCTCTTTTTTCTCTGTATCTTCTTCTTTTTTTTTGTCTTTCATTTAGATATGAGTTCAATATGAATTGTGAGTGACACATAATAAATTAAATAAATTTTCTATATTTAAATATGTGTCATTCTACTTCAGGACTATAGTAGTTGTTAAGAATAAATGTTTTTAACGTGTGTGCAGGAGGAAGAGGACAACAATATAAAAAATCTTTTTTTTTCTTCTTCTGTACTCTATCCATGAACTTGTACCAGTATATGGGAGAAACAAACCAAGGACGATTAACACAATAACAAATATCTAATAATAATAATAATAATAATAATAATAATAATAATAATAATAATAATAGTACTAATAATAATATATTCACGTTAGTGAAAGATAGAAGAAGAAGAAGAAGAAGAAATGCGGTTATAGAGAGAAGAAGAAGAAAAAAAATATGATCATTGTTTAGAAAAATGATTCTTCGTTTTTTTTTTCATTACTATAAGATGCTGTATTGCAAATGTTAATAGTCGTTTTTCTACCCACGTAATCACATTGCACAACAGAAGACAAGGAAGAAAAGTAGAAGAAGAAGGAAAAAAATAATTCATCCCTAATATACACATTGATATTGTTCTAATATGAATGCCCTAATATACTATCTCTATATTATATAAATTCTAGGTTTTTTCTCTCTTTCTATGTAACAACAGATAATTTTAAAATAACCTATTTTCTTTCTAATAATAAAACCGACAACAGAGACTATTGTTTGAGAGTACTAAGCTAATTTTAAGTCATTTCTTTCTCTCTTTTTTTTTTTTTTTTTCTATTGAAATAAAACATATGTGTATCGTGTGTTCTTTGTATATCAAATATTAGAGATATCTGACAATGATGTATGAGGATAATATAGCCTCTAAACTTTCTTTAGTTTTTTTTTTAAAAGATGTTCCATGAAATGTCTCTATAAAACATATATTAAATATTTTTTTTTATATACTCGTAATAGAAGAAAGATTGTGAAACTTCAATCTCGATTACTCTGCAATCTAAAAGACATATTTTTTTCAGTTTTAGACCTTCATATGTTGCTAAACAAAAAACATAAGAAGATGGCCATTTGGTAGTCCTTAAAAAGCTCTATCAAATGGCTATATTTAAAATTCTTCATAATCATAATTAGTTGTGAGAGAATTTTTTTTCTTTTATTGATTTTCCCCTAAAATCAACCAACAATTTTCAACTGTAGTTTTGGTCTAGTTAGAAAAACTTTTATAACTCAATCACAAATCACACATTTTAAGATCGAATTTGTTTTAACTTAATGTAAAATAATTTTTCTGTTACATTCGTACAGAGAAAGTTCAATATTTTCTCTTTTCTTTTCCTATGTCATGATGAAAAAGACAAAATTTCTCTGTTTTTGTTAAATTTTAGTACAATCGTCTTTTGTGCCAGAAAAATATATTTAAACCGAATCTATGATAGACGACGATACGTCAGAGCACGAGAACTTACGTTCTAATTTTCTGTTTATACTTAAAATATTATTTTTCATAATTTTTTGAGTTGCAAAGTAAACGAGATTAAAACTTCGTAGTCTTTCTTCTATATTCTTTTTTCTTTACGATATATCAAAAAAATGTTTCATATATTTTTTGTAGAGAATTTTTACGACGCATCTTTTAAAAAAATGATGAAGTATAGGGAATAAAATTCACCTGATGTATGTACAAAATACTAAATAGTCGATCTATTCTGAAACATCTGTGTACATGGTGATAGTAGAAGTTTAAGATGTTATACAAAATATGTTATTAATAGAAAATTTTTCTTTTTTTTATAAATAGAAATAGAAACAAAATTTATATCATAGAATTTATTAACTAATATTTTTTTTTTAAATACATTGTGATTAAACACAGTGAGTATCTCATATTAACAAAAATTTTATTGAATTTTATCTTTATTATATCTGTTATCATTTTATATAGAATAATTTTCATTATTTAATCTTTAGAACATACATTAAATTTGAGAAACACAATTGTTCTCTCGAATATATTTTTGTTTAGTATGAAATGTGTGGGTGCCGTTACAAAACAAAGTATGTTTAATTTTACTATTTAAAAATTATTTAATTTACATATATATATATATATTCTAATTTAGATATGTTCGATTTGTTATTCGTTATCATTTATTTATATTTTGTTGTACATTTATAATGATTAGCGTTTGTGTTGCATTTCTTATTTATAAACGTGATGAAATTAAACTACAATATTTGCTCAAGGTATATAATATTATATTTAAAATTTCTAAAATTAATAGACATAAATGATATATATATGTGTCCTTTTTTTATTCAAGGGCTTTCAAACTCACGGAACAAAAATTAGTGATAATTATAGAAAATTAATATCAATATTTCGTCAAACACAATTACAACATCTTTTTCCTACATCTCGAGTAAGTATCTCTCATTTCTCATAGAATTAATGTTATATTTTAGATAGAATTTTATTTTTCTTCTTCTCATCTAGATACCGACAGAAGAGAAGATACCAATAAAATTGTATAATTATTATAAACCAAACGTTAGTCCCTGCCATAAACGACTGTATATGCCAAGATGTTCGATTGGTAAGTATTTGATATTATAAAAAAAGATAATTTAACGTGATCTTCAATAGTGGTCTCACAATTTATTTGTGTATGTAAAGAGAGAGAGAGAGAGAGAAAGAAGAAATAAGAAAAAGCACAGTAAATCTACTAGCGAGGGAACCGTTCCAAATGATTCACCCCGATTTAATCAAAACATACTTTTTCGTGGGTTATTTTTGATGCTGATTACGAATCTGATATTCATTTCGGCCTATATGACTTTCTAGTATGGATCTCCAGCAATAACTTTCAATACCGAAAAAGACTATTCTTTCAACAGGAAAGTTAATTTTTGATCAAAAATGTCTGCACAGGACTCGTGGTGACATTTTTTTGGTAAAAAGAAACAAAATCTTAGACAATACTTGATCATTACATCTGACGCAGTTTACTGCGCTTATTTCGAATATCGCCTTGTTTTTCATGCCATTAATGCAGTGCATATAGAAGAAAATTTTATCAAAAAGTGAGTGAAGTTCAGTCAGATTAAGTGCACTACTTTATACTAAGCACGTCTCTTGTAAAATACTGTTATTTACTCGCAAGGTTAAATTCAAGGTAAAACAGGGGGTTTTCTGTCAACGTGCAGGCGAATATGTCTCAATTTAATCACTGTATCATTTTTATCTATAATTTCATTAGTTAAAATGAAAAAAACATTTGAGCGTATTATACGATTTCGGCCACATGTTTTGCCTCTGATTCTGAATAGTTATAACAAAAATTCCCATGCAAATAAATTGTTTATATATCGACATAGTTTTTCTACTCATTGAATCTGAAAAGTATCTGATTTTCATCTTAACGTCCATTATGAGAGGAAAGAGAAGAGTCATACAGCATAAACCGTCACTAATTATCTTATATTTGAATTTTCTAGTCAATTATACACAAATAACATATTCAATGCGTGAAATGTATAGTTTATTCGATTTAATACCATTCAAATCTCTTTGTCAATTTGAATATCAATTACAATCAAGTTTTAGGAATACTAATAATGATGGTGATGATGATGATGATAATGATCAATGTTGTCAATTTATAGGACCAGGTAAATATATAAAATAACTCTCTAGAAACTATTCATAATCAAATCGTATTAATCGGTTTTATTTTTTATTCTTTTATAGTGGGTATTTTTTTTGACAAATGTATTGTTTCATCGAACATATGTGAAAATCTAACTTATTCTCAATTAGATGAATATCGCATTCATTGGCATGATTGTTTGTCAAATAATGAAGATAAATGTCCTAAAAATTCTCCATTATATAATTATATTCATGCTCAAACAATAACAAGAGATGATCAATCGTTTTCATTTTATATTAGTACCGATAATGATACAACATATTTATTAAAATTATATAATTATATGACAAATATTAATTATAATAATGAAAATTTAAATTATTTTTATTTAATCGATATTCAATACAGTCATACAGAAATATTATTAAATTATTTATTAATTAAAAATTTCCATTTAATATTAATATCATTAATAATTTATATTCTATGTTTAATATTGTTTGTCAAAAATTTATTTTTTACTCTTATTGTTATTGTTCATTTATTACTATCTATTTTACTTAGTTTTATCATCTATTATTTTCTATTTCAATTTCCAATTACAATTTTAAATTATACAAGTTTAACATTACATTTATTTTTATCATTATTAGATTCTTATCTATGGTATAATTTATGGTTAATTCATAGTCATAGAAAAGATGATTGTACAATACAACGAATTATTGAAAATATAATTACACATACATTTCATCATATTATACCAAAACAGATCACAACAATATCCGCTTTACTTATATCTTATACAAATCAATTAATAACAATTCAATGTTTTACCGTATTTTCATGTATTTTAATTCTTGTATCATTAGTCATCTCATTTGCACTCTATCCAGGTATAAACATACACAGATAAACTTAGGAATGCATCAGTTACAGTTAACTGTAAAACTGTAGAACTGTAACTATTATAACTGTAAGCAAATATTCTAGCCTTCTATGATTTGCACACATTTTAAGAATAGAGACATTCTTAAAATGTATGCAAATCGTACAAGACTAATCACACTAGAATATTTGCCTACCCATGTAGTCAAAATTGGCCATAAATCGACGATTTTTTAGCGATTTTACCTGTTAAGAGCAATTAATCGGCGAGTTTTTAGTTTAACAGTCAGCTTGGCTTGGGGTGAGGATGAGCTGACTCAAATCGAAACAACGAGTCAGCTCTGAGAAAACTACAGAGAATATCTTTGGCAACTTCGTTTTAATCTAAACTAAGAAGATAATCTAAAAAGTAGAACATTTCTCGTTGAAATCGTATTTCTTATATACTTACTCTACTGCAGAATAAAACGGTGAATAACAAAAAACCATTTAATAGCTTAAAATCAACAATTAATCACAATTAATTGACAATTATTAAAAAAACAGAAAAATCATCAGGATCTTTAAGAATGGCAACATATCGATGATATTTAACAACTGGCGATTTTTCATGCGAGCCGATTAATCGTCAGTTGTTAAAAAGCGCCGATATATCGCAATTTATGGACGATTATAGTCAGAATTGCGAATAATTGGCGATTTTACTGCTAATCACAAATAATCGTCTAGAATGGAACGATTTTAACGGCATGAGTACAGTTGTCAACAGTTTTACAAGTATAGTTACCTGGTAAAAAACCGTAACTGATGTATACCTAGATACTCAAATAAATATATTATAATTTTTTATTTTTTTTTAGCTTCCTTTGTATTCATAATACGTTATCATCCGTCAATACCAACATTTGAACGTTTTTCACATATACATTTTTTATCAACAATGACAAGTTGTTTAGTTGATAAAACAATTCCATTATTAATATTACGTTTTAAAGCATTTTGGATAACTATTCTTAGTATTATTGCATTTATTGCTCTTCTAATTATTTTTCAATGGCCAAAATTACAATTTGATATTTGTCAATTAACATTTAATACAATTCCACATTCTCATTATCATCGAACAAAATCTAAAACAATAAATAATTTAAAAACAAATTTTGATATTGATATTACATATTATATTGGATCAAATATTGAATTTCCATCTGAATCCTATTTTATACCAAATAATGATTATCCAACATCAATTGGTTGGATTGATGCTAAAGTACCATCACAAATACAGACACCATCATTTGATAAATCATTAAAATCAAATTTATCAGTTTTATTAAATATATGTAATTATATTGATAAACATTCAAATAGACAACGACGAACAATAATAAAATCATATCATAAATATCATCGACATATACAACCATATCATTATGAATTATCAATGAATGATAAATTAATAATACAAGGATTAAATAATTCAGAAACAATTTTATTTGATGAAAAATATAATAATCAAAATAAATTTCCTATTACATTACTAACATATAATTGTTTTGGTGATACATTAGAAATGCAAATGGATTATAATCAAACATTATTTTTAAAATTAAATACGTCTCAAACATGTGTTGATCTTCCAAAATGTTTATCAAATCTTAGTGAATATATTGGTAATTATTCATCTGTTTGTTCTGGTTGTTATTCCTATTATTTCTATCGTCAATATAAACAAAATGAATTATTTTTAATGAAAAATGGTTTACATTATCTTCGTGGTGATGATCAATCATATTATTTATTATATTCATTAACATATCGTCTAAATGAATTTGACTCAAATAGTCTTTCATCATGGTCACAATTAAATAATTATTTAAATACAAATTTTATATATAAATATTTAAATTATTTATATCATATCACTGCTACAAAACAAAATATATTTTTTTCTAGTGAATTTTTTTCATCATTTTCAATTATGGAACAATTAATATTTCATAGAAATATTTTATTATCTGTACAATTTGCATTCATATTACTTTTTTTATTTTTATTTACCGGTTTATTAGGTCTTTTTGTAACAATAACAACAATAATTAATTTTCTAACATGTTTAGGATTTTTTACATTATTTCATTTTAAATTATCCATTGAACATTTATCTTATTATATAATTACTCTAGTTATTTGTCTACATTATTCCGTATTATATTCTGTAAATTATAAATTAGCACCAACATTATTTTATCAACGAGAAAATCGATCATTATATTCATTAAAACAAATATTAATGCCTTTAATTCAATTTACATTATCTGTTTTATTTACATGTTTAAGTTTATTATTTTCATCATTACCCTATTTATATTCAATTGGATTTACCTATTTATGTTGTTCATTTTGTTCATTAATTTATTCAACATTATTTTTACAATCATTATTATGTTTATTTGGACCTGAAGGACGATTATGTATTTGGCCATGTCCTCGACTTGTACATATTCCTCATCAGACTCAAAGAAGTGGTGGTATTACAGGAACAAGTAATTCATCAGGAAGACATTATAAACATCATCGAATGTCAACATCATCTTATTTTGCATCACTATCACATGTATTAACGAGTTCTACTTATTTTGAAAATGAATTTAATCAATTAACAGATTTACCATTATCTCGACGTCGTGAAAGTTCTCGAAGTCAACAATATCAACAACAAATTCCATTAATAACAAGTGAATTAATTGAATTATATTCATCACCTCGAACAAGTTTATCTCCACATCAACAATATCGTTATTCAAGACAATCATCATCTATTTCAACTAGAGGTTTATCAATTACACAACCTCGACCACTTTATGTTCACACATCGCATTCTGTATCACCACATTCACATTCTCATAGTTCAAGTCGACAACGATCTCCATCACCACAAATAATTTCCATAATGCAACACCGACAATCAACACGATCTCCATCACCACGATCGTTAATAACAAATGTTTCATTATTAAGACCGTGTGCATCAGCACCGAGGCTACATGTTCCATCATTATCTTATGTGCCTAAATCAACTATTATCGAATGTGTCGATAATGGTGGTGATAGTAATGGTGAGGGTACAAAAATAAAAACTCGTCTATTAACAACACAAACACAACAAGTACATTATACAAAAAAACATCATGAACACGATGATTTAGATGAAAATGATATATCTGTTATAACATCAATGGATGATAATAATATAGAAAAGAAAATGATACGTCAAAATGCATTTAGTACTATATCATCAATAGATAGTATGATGACATCTGTAGTTGAACAAAATATTGTTAATAATACAAATGTAACTACAAGTAGTAGACGAGCAGTTTTAAAAACAGATTCATCTCCAATATGGATAAAACGCTCGAATAGTAGTTAAAAAAAAATAAATTAGACACATCTTGCATTCCAGATCAATTTTTCATATCTTCAAAAAAAAAATCGATTTTGTCAGATGTTTATAAATGAATGCCTTTCAGAGTGATATATATAATGCGTTCTTTTACATTTAGGTAAATTTTGACTAGCAAAATGCATCAAGTAATTAATTCTAATCTTTTTTCGCCTTAGTGAATTCTGGTGAGCTTATTAAAAAACATTAAAATTCCTTCAAATATCTCTCGTCAATTGTTTTATTTTTTTGTAAGTTTAATAGTGTATTTCAAAAGTTTCAAAGTAGAAAGCATCCTAAAATACTGGTAATAGATCTTTCTTTCTCCCATTGTTTTCTGGTGTTTTTGCTCAATACATATTATTGCAGCATAATAATTCTTAACAAAAGTCATTCTATTACTCTTGAAGTATTGGGAAGATTGACTTAGATTTTGAATATTTTTTATCATTATGTCTTCACCATTCCTAAAAATTTCTCATTTTATTTAAAAGATTTCTAAGATTAGTTCTAAGTTTGAATGAAGTTTGTAATAGAACCAAACGTTTCTCTTTTCTCTTCAGGAAAAAAGTCTAGAACATTTACCAATTATATTCATGGTTTTATTACTGATAGTTTAAGTCAGTTCTCTCTCTATTTCATCAGAATGAACGCATTTTTTTTTTTATTAGGGAAATTATCTCTCTTTTTTCCTTTCAATCATTATTTAAACCCACTATTTGTAGAACATGTTCTGTCTTTATTCGTGTTGTTCTTATTTTGTTTTTGTTTCAAGCTTTTTTATACATGTTTTTATAGAGAAAAAAATATATATATTGTACTCAAATTGACTTAATGGACGGATGCTACTTTCCGAAACAAAACACAAAACTATAGAAATCACTATCTTCTAATAGCAAAAATTAAACAAAAGATTAACGCAATGTTGATTCAACATCACGTCTAAACAATAAAAGTTTAAAATATTTCTATATTAGATTCGAATGTATTGATCTGTATGATTCACATATTTAAATCTAATATGATTTTCAACGAATAGGAAATTGTCTTCTCTTCACAATGAGACGTCAGTGGACTAGAGTCACGGGAGTTTGAGTGGTAGTGGGTAGACCCGTACTGTTCGCGAGCATGGGCAGGCAATCGTTCTCTCCAACGGACACAGATTTTTGAAAACTTTTTGTGTAACAAATAAATTGAAAACATAAATTATTGGTGAATGAAACATATGTAGTAAAAGACATGTCAATGAAAGAACCGTTAAAATATAATTTTTTGTCACTCTACAGATCTTTTATCCACGAACACGGATAAACGTAGACAGCCGAAAAAATTCTCGGACGGGCACAGACAAACATCCCAGAGAGGTCTACTGGCATGGGCAGAAAAAATCTTGCCCGTGTAGATCTCTACAGTAGACACTCTTTACGATATCTTCTTAACAAATGCATTTTTTCTTTCTGACTTAGAACATTGTCGTTCTTAAGCATGTGAAAAACGTCATTTTTATTTTACTCCTTTTAGGCAGAAATGCCATTTTCTTCAGATGTGCCGGTATTGAGATTAGCATACGATTGGATAGTCCAAAGTATCCTCTTTCCAATGAACTACTTTTGGTGGCTCCAAAGTGGATTTTGACAGTTTAATAGCGAATTCTCCGGGAATTCTAAAAATTCGGATTTTTCATAATGTTGAATCTGAGATGTAGTAAACAATTGTGAGGTTCAAACCTTCTAAACAAACATTTTCCATCGAAATATCTCTACAGGATGCTCCGATCAAGAGTTATAACTGTTTTACTAAATGTCGTAAAAATCGTCACCATACACAACCGTCGTCATATCTCAAAATCAACTTTTCACTTTATACGCTTGAAAACCCAAAATTTTCCTCCTACAAGGTCATACAGAGCTCGGCTCGGTCTTAAATTAAAGGTAACACGTGTGCCTATCGATTCAAAGAACTTGATTTTTGATTTTTGAGTTTGTTTCTAATACATACATAAAAGGTTTTATGGAAAACTTCCAATATACATTTCTTTTTTTTTCTTCTTTTGGTAGCTGCCAAAAAAAGTTTTTGCAAAATTTCAAAAGTTCCCTTCTCTCAATCTCTAGCCACAAGTGTTTGCGTTCTTTTAAAACCATCCCGAGCTCTTTAGCGTTTACCCAGAAAAAAAATTTTAGGAGGCGGCAACGCCTACTTTTCACCCCTTAATGTGGCGACATCTCGCGTCTTTCAAAATCCTTCTAAACATCATTCTTTGTTAAGCCAAAAGAAGCCGAAATACCACATTTTTCTAAGTCGGGAAAAGCGCCAGAAAGTGAGCTGCTGTTCATTCCGTTGCTTTAGACAACTGGTTTTAATTGTGCTCTTTGGTTGCGAAGTGTGACAAAGCTACGAAGTCATTTCGATGAAATACTGCCTTAATCTTGACAAATTCATAACTTCTGAAGGAGCAATGGTTTTTGGACCAAATTTTCAGATTTTGTAGCAGAGAACGTGAGGATGTGTCTACGCAAGTCTGGATTTGTTTAAAGCTATTCAGGTCGAGATATAGTATTTTCATCGGTGAAGATATTTCTTAAAAGCTTTTTCTTTCATGGAGATGTTTTAGCGAGCGATATGTCATAAACCACCACTTTATATAACTTTTTCTGATGAAGAAAATGTTCAAAATGACAAGTTCTATGTGTGACGAAACAGCAAAACCCAATATTTGTTTCATTTATCTCGTTGTTGGAAATAAAAAGACTAGCCAACATTATTTAATGTTTTGTAATGAAAGGGAGAATAAGAAATGACTTCATTTCAGTGGCTTAGTGTAGACCAATAAAGAAAGATGGGTTTGAAATACAGAGAATTCTCCATAGTAGTAAACATTTAAATGGCCGATTTTCAACGAGTTCATTGAAAAGAGTTGAAAACAGAAAATATTTTGATGGGAATCAGATAGCAGAAAATTGTTTCATTTTTATGCTCCGTGATCGGCAAGTGAGAGCTACAAGAGTCATTCAGGGCTATCTCTAAAACATTACAAAAACATTACAAAATTCAGTGAGGCGAAGCCCATCCTACTCAAAACTCAGGGGACCTGAGCCCACCCTAGTCTAAATTTCTGGTGCCGCCGCTAGGATATACTCGCTAAACTTTCGAAATAATGTAAAACATTTTTAAACCCTTTGAAAATTGTGACTGTTGACAGACATGAAATACTGTGTTGCATACCGCTATTCATGAAAACTTTTTGTCTCATTTCCTTCCAAAAAACTGCGACACACGGTAAGTACTGACATTCAGGTTTTTAAGAAATATCTTCTGTAATACAGCGTCTCGAACGTCTTGTATATTTTAGATGGCAAAAGCGAAAGGATTTCCGAATATTTCTTTACCAGAGGTAAGAAAAATCAAATCTTTTTGAACTAGTCCCACGACAGAATAAAAACAATATATATTTAACTATATAAAACTTTTTATTTAATGATCAGGTACTACTAATTTAAAAGTGTTATGTGATCTAGTCCACTTTTCCACGATTACTACCACCTTAACATTTGATCTCAACTGAACTCGAACGGCCAATCTAGGAATGATCGGCTTATGGTGTTCAATTTTCTAATCATTAATTAACTTTTATAAACTTCAATTCATCTCTTTTGTTTTTCTTTAGCCATTAATAAAAAAAGCTATATTTTTTTAAACATCTTGGAATTTCTCTTTCTTATATAACAAGTCGAAATTTGATCAGAAAAATGATTTGGAGCACTAGATCTGATGTAGAGGGACCAAAAAATTAAAAAGCAATGAAAACAATATTTACAGCATTAATACTCACTAACAGACGTTTTTAGTTTAAGTTGAAGAAACAAGTCATGAGTATAGTAAAAACGGTCTAACAACGATGTATAACGGTCTGTTAAAAAGACGTTTACGGCAGATTAATAACATCATTTTCGATTTGGATTATACTAATTTTGAGAGATTATTATTACAGATCTTTCTAACACGAGACTATTATTAATAAAAAGTAGTGCAGCATAGTTTTTAGTTATTATCACATATAATGTCCAAGATGTGGAAAATAAAAATGGATAAAAAACCGGCAGCTCGTCATGATTTTGAGTATAGTTCTGAACTTCTTTCTTTTGTTAGAATATCTGTAGAGGAGCGTCATGAAAAATTGAGTTTGTAAGTGAAAAGATCGATAAGTCTCTCTTGGGGGATATTTAAAACGTATAGTTTTCTCTTCAGAAGAATTCTTCTTAACTAAATTATATCTTATACTTCCTTCTGAACTATTTAATGCATGTTTCAGAAACTAACGAAACCAAATCCATTTGTTGAAGACAAAAAACCTATTGACAATAATTTATTATCGTTTGTCAGTAATGGTTTACATTTTACAACCGATGTTATTGAACAAATATGTCCTCATGTGTTACCTTACTCAAGTTTTAATGGACATTTATTATATACATCTCCTGGGATGGCGAAACAACGTCGACCTCACACAACGCCAAGGCGACCACATCGTCTGGAACCAATTACAGATACGAATCATAAGGAAAATGATGACATTAAAGCAATTAGTTTACCGTATGCTCGATGGGCGCATGCTCAGCGTGTACGAAAACAGAAAAAAATTGGTGAAAATAAACAATTTCAACCAAAAGAATCAATATTTTTCATGACTGAAATTGAACCACGAGAAGGTGATGATATGATTGGTCGACAAGGGCAACGAGAAATTGAAGAAGATAAAACAACTACAACGCGTTCATCGGATTTAAATACAGCACGAATGAGTCAAGAAATGTTAGAAAAGCATGCACAAGCTCAAGCAAAGAAAGATTTTGAAAATATGGAAAAAAATTGGGATAAATATATGTTTGAGCATATGGATGAGAATACAGCAAAATATATCATTCTCAAGCATGTACACGACGGTAATTAATTTAATTATGTAATCACACCGAAAAAACTGGTTTCATTCTTTTTCTAGAATCTAGAAAAGGACGATTAATTGAATATCTAAAAGAAACTTATCATTTATCAACCATACCAAACCAATATGAAATTGAATTGGTATATTTTGATTAGCTTTATGATCGCAAAAACAATTTATTATATTTTTGTTTTTGTAGATCCCATCTCCAAGAAAAGTTGAAGATGTTGAAAAAAAGGATAGTTCATGGAAAAAACCCGAGAGTAGGTACGAGCATTCGTTTACAAGACAAAACAGCAATATTTGTCTACATGTTTACATAAAGTTTCAATTTTTTTTGCTAGATTATTAGAACGTGCTGAAAAAGCAAAAGATTCTGAAACGGTTCAAGATAAACGTCATACTCCACTTTATCGTCTACCAAGAGGTCTTCGACGTCATGCTAAACAAGAAATGAAAGAAGAATGTAAAGTTAAGCTGTATTTTAAATGTTTATCAAAATGACTAAACAAATATTTCTGTTAATGTATAGCTAATCGAACTGCACAAAATATGGTAATAGAAAATACTCAAATTCGTAGAGAGCAAACATTTTATGATATTATGTCAGATAAAATATTGAGTACAGTATATCGAACTGATCATCCATATGAACAAGCAATGATCATGGGTATGTCTATTGAGCTAATATTTGGTGAATTATGAACATGTGCAATTTATGTTTTAGGAACAAATGTTCATCAACCAACCGACGAAAAAGGTGTTATAAGCTTATCATCAAAATTACAATTTGATAAAGTGTTACAACAAACGTTACCACCAAATCCAGAAGCTATTAGTTCAAGTAAAGTATGTGTATAAGATGAATAACTATTTACTATTTTCAAGTCTTTTTTTAGCTCTTGTAATGGATTCAACTGCCGCATATGATCGCTCAAAACCAAGTAAAGGTTTTAGACGTTGGAAAAGTTTACCGAAAGTGAAAGACACGGTGAGCTCATTATAAAAATGAATATTTAGAAAAATGGTTCTTGGCATATATATTTTTAGACTCCTTATATGCGATTACCGTCGCCTGAACAAACTGTAGTACCTAGTTTGATCAGAGAGTTTTTTGAACAGGTTGAGCTGCGAGCCTGATATTAATGGCTAGTTGGTTGTTACTTCTTGGTGTGTGCTCATATATGCTTAGTCTTTATTATAAGCCCTTGCGTGTCTTAACTACCTCTATTAGACTTAGAATAACATCTTTAAAAAAACACATTCTATACTTAACAATTGATCTATTTTCTAAACTCTTCTTTTCATTATGAAAAAGAAGCAGGTAAAACTTCTTGTAATAGCCGATTTTTTGTTTTTCATTAGATTTAACAAATTGCTGTGATTAGTAGAACAGTTCATTCACTTTCATAGAATTAAAGGAATACTGTTTTCTACTGCATTTTATTATACTTCGAATTCTTAAATTAATACAAATCATCTTTTATTAAGATAAAACGATAATATTGTTCTTTTTTTTCCCACTGAACAGAGTCCATTAAGACCGCCAGATATTGAGGATTTAACTTTACAATGGGTAATGCCTTTTACACCAGATTCTCGATTGCATAGATTATTCAAATCAAACACAACCATCAGTCGAATTGTTGAAGGTATAGCCAATTGCTATTGCACAACTACCATTCACATATATTTCATCTTATTTTGTACATAAAATTATTAATTCATTAATGTTTATTTTTCATTAATTCTTATCTGAATAGAATGGCGTCGTAAATGGCAAGTTGGTAGTCAATGGATTGATGCTGATATTGATGAATTGTATGGTGACTTGCAAGATATTCATCCACATGTTCGATTCACCGCTGTTGTTGTGTGTGCCAGAGCAGCTCAATATCGTACACAAAAAGAAATTGGTATTAATCATTAGCAATTAAAATAACTTTTAATGACTTATAATTACTCTATTTAGATTCTGGATTAAAAGTTCATTTATTACCAGAAAAACTGTTAGTAGCATTAGAATGTTTACTTCAAGATACAGTTGAAAGAGTTCGAACAGCGTCGGCTATAGCACTCTTAACATTAGATAGATATAGCCAAGATGTATGAAGATATGCTGTTTTGTTTATAATAAATGAATCGTTCGTTCAATATTGAATTTAGGCTGAAGATATTTTACGCGTCTGTCTTCAGACTGGTAGCCCACTTGATAAACTAGCGGCCAGTGAATGTTTAGCTGACTATGGTATCACAACATCAGATGTTATTCATGAACTATTGAAAAATTATTTTGAAGCTGATGATGAACTAACACGAGAACAGATTATTCTTTATTTAGTCAAACTTAGTTTAAGAACTGTATGTTTTAACAATTTTAGTATGTATTTCAACTATATTAATCTTTTTTTTCATTTAGAATCTTGTATATAGTCTTGCTGGTGAATATTTGAATTCGGCTGATGCAGATGACAGAATATTAGCATGTAAATTATTTCCCTTATTGAGATCTTATCCAAATAAGGTAAATTTTTTAGCATTGAGTTAAGTTCTTTGATATATTTTGAATGATATTGATCTTACTTGCAGGATATAACTCAAAAACTAACCCATTTAATGTGGGAAGACATAAATAGTACAGTGAGAAGAATATCTGGTCAAGCATTAGGAAAATGTGGATGTGGACAAGCTGTTCATGATGAACTTGTTTTAAGATTACAAAGTAAACATTGGAAACATCGTGTTGAAGCATTAAAATTGATTGGTTATTTAGGTATATTTCTATGAATCCACGTCTAGCTATCAATTGACACATACTCACATTGTTTTTAGGTATTTTGACGGCAAAATTAATGCAGCCGTATATGAACTGTTTTAAAGATGAACATGTTAGCGTGAGAGATTACGCTTGTCGTACCACGTACAAAATACAATTGAGAGACGAAAATATAAGAAATTTACTAGTTGAAGTAGCAAATTATGATTCAATTGAAAAAGTTCGCTATTCGGCTATTGAAGGTAAATATATTTTTTATTGAAAAAATCCTTTAATAAGTTTGCCATAGCTTTTTATTTTTTGATTGGTCCAGTAGTTTGCAAATCTTTACTTTTCTTATCAATTTTAGCATTAGGATTATATGGGATGTCGAATGATGTAGCTCGTCGCGTTTTGTTGTGGGCAGTACGATACGATAAAAGTCCATTAGTTCGCGCAGCTGCTCCAGCCGCATTAGTTCTGTTAGAAAAAGCCGATACGGATATTCTCGATACCTTACAAGATCGCTTTTTGATCGAAAAAGAACCGATTGTTGTTAAGTAAGAAATGTTATTACTTGTGCATTTAATTTTCACCTGTTCAGTTATCGTTTGTTAAAGATCATTGAAAGAAGCATTGGAGCTATATGGTTGTAATTTAAGTCAAGATATGCCTATTGTAGAGGAGATACGAAATGAAGTACGAAAATTAAATCAAAAAAATACAATATGGGAAAAAATAACAAATTTAGAACGAGAATTACGGAAGGCCGAAGCAATTGAAAGACTCATTGCTCCCGAGCCTGATAGAGTAAGATAAACACACTATTTTATTTTTAGATAAACCCAGGTCGAGCAAAATGGATATCCGTTACGGACCGCTACTGGACGCAGGAATACGGACCGTAACATCATTAAAATAGGGCCGTATACGGCCGTATTTTCACAGTATACGACCCCGTATTACTGTGCCAAGAAACGGTACCGTTTACGGGCCGTATATTGTGAAAATACGGCCGTATACGGCCCTATTTTAATGATGTTACGGTCCGTATTCCTGCGTCCAGTAGACCGTCCGTATATGGCCCGTATCGTTCGACCTGGGAATTGTAAAAGTTTAATCAATTGTAAAATTCTACTTTGTAGCCAGTTACTCCACCCATTTCAAATATGCAATCAATGTCAAAAATAACAGACAATGCGTCGATATCCTCATCGGGTTTTTCAAAAGCAATTCGAGATGTCGCCGACAACAGTGTTTATTCTCTACCTGAAATATGGACACCAGAAACGAGACATGATCCTTCGATAAAAAAGTCTAATAAAGCAAAAAATTTACCAATAACAACAGTGACAACCACACAACCTGAAGAATTCTCAGTAAATGTTTCGAATTCTGAACAAATTTCTGATATGAATAATGCTGATAAATCTTATGGATTACCATTAACTTCCTTGATGCCGGTCTATGAGGAACATGAGAATGAAGATGAAGACGAAAATGAACTGTAGTGTCGCTGTTTAAATTCTATTTTCTGTTTGAAATAAAAATTAGATAAGATAAATTGAACGGACTGAAATACTACCTAGAAACAGCTGAAAGCCCTTATAACTAGGTCACAGAACGAATCATTTTGACGTATCTTGAATCAGGTAGAATTGTAAAACTTCTTTTCTTCAAAGAAAAAGGAGCAAAAATTGACTCAATAATTGTTTTAAGTTGGAATAACGTCTTATTTCTTTGATAAATTGTCCCTATTGACTTAGGCTCCATGTTACCATCGATATCATTAGTGTTACGAAGGATTATAAGTGATTAGGAAATGGAAATAGCTATTTGTCTATTAAAAGACTCATATTTTGTAAAATATTTGTATATAAGAAAATTGACTTATCTTTTCTTTCCTTTTTATTGCATAAAGGTGATGATGATTTAATAGAATCAAAAGATTCGTATATTCTAAAGGGAGAGGAAGAGAGTAAGTACTACTTCTTATAATATATCCTTGACATCCATTTTACTTAGTACCACAAACCAATATAGAATAATAAGAGTAAAATTTAGACATTAGACATGTATATCATTTTCTAGCGCTTTGCATGATCTATTAAATGAGGTATGTTCCAAGTATTTTTCATGACTGAAAGACTTTAATCGAAGTATGAACCCCCAAAATCCAAGCCCTAAAAATCTCAAATTCTCAGAAGTAGACCCAGGTATCATCTGTTGATTGATGAAGAAGAATAAGCCAAAGTTGTAGTGGGTGAGAACGCCACTACTTCAAGCTTCACTACAGAGTGTGGTTTGAGTGTAGGAGAGGAAAAGTCTAACAAGTTTAGTTTGGAGTTGATGAAGACAAAATCTCCTGTGCAGATAGTTCGGACGTTTTGTAAAAAAATTAGAAAGTTAGCAGAAATTTTCAGATTTCTGTAGAAATTCGAAACTGTTTGAAAATTTTTTACTTTCTAGATTTTAGAAAAAATTGGAAGAATGACATTGATGCGGACGGACAAAATAATCTGCAGCATCACGATGAACTGATTTTTCCAAACTGTTGTAGATACTCAGTTAGAGTTAAGCATATAAACTTCAAGTGATTTTCTGGTACTTTGAACGCACACGCGAAGACGATACGTTGAACACTTTCATCGTTCTACAACGTCGCTTTCTTGACTTTCGTTCTTTTTTAATCAGAGATCAACAAACTTCCAGTACAGTTTTGACTATGCATGCGACAAGTTTTGTTATACGATCCGCAAAACAATAGACGAACATATTAGCGCGTCGTACAAGTAGAATTTTGCTTCAAGTCCAGGAGTATATTTAGAAAGTCAGCGAAAGGCACATCCATTCTACATACTTGTCTGAATTGTTCAACGAAATTCTTCAACTTCTCATACTTGTTGTGCACAGTCCATTCTGCTCGAATCAATTGTTTGAGAACAATTTGCGGTTGCAAATATTTTTGGAACGACTGCGTGTCCTTAACTAATGTTCCGTAATTAAAGTCCAAATAGCGTGGCAGATTCCTATTCTGTGGAAATCCAAAATGTACAAGTATAAAGTGAAATGTAATGGAAATTCACTTTTAGGTAGGATAATAATGTACATGTATACTACACCTCATCCAACACTCTTAGATTAGGTAAGGTAAGATCTGGAAATTCAAATGAATTTCTTCACGTTACCTCACATTGGTATCACTGTTGATCAGGAAAGTTTATAGTATGTACAATTCAGATCAACTGGCTATCATGTATTATATTTTTATTTCACCTCAAAGGAGGTTTTATACGTCTATTTAGATATCGTGATATGACTCTTCCGCAAGCGGTATTTGCACGAACAGAAACTTTCCCAAATGTTTGGAGAATAGAAACCTAACCATTTTTCCAGCACAGATACACTTCCAGAGATATATGAGTGTATGTGGAGGGTATGTGTACCGGTGATGAGGAGGAACAGCAGTGTGAGGGTGAGTTTGAAAAGTAGTTTCACGCTGAATGTAGATACCTGATGTGAGGTTTGTATACAATGTGAAACGTTTGAATTTCCCGGCCTTACCCAACACTCTACAACCTTAAAGTGTTGGGTAATGTGAGGAAAGTCATTTGGATTTCCCGACCTTAACCTTGCCTTACATAACCTTAGAGTGTTAGATAATGATGAGGATATATACATTTATATGAGTAGTACACTTATTACAGTACACAGTATTACTTTGTCTAATCCATCCTTCACAAACAAATACTTTTCAAAAAAAGTTTATACACAATGTGAAACTTTTGAATTTCCAGGAAATAGGAACATGCCATATATTCAAAGTCCATCTATTTTTGATAAAAAAACCTGCCTTTCTGAATGACTTTTCGGCCGGAAATGATCTTCTTTGCGAGAACATTTTTTCCAGTGGTTTTGGGGTGTTCGTCTAAGAAAGCAGGCTAGAGTCCTTGTAAAATTGTAATTCAAATGAGTCAGAACATAGCCATGTAGCTTTTCAGAAGATAGTCGCGTTTACGATGAAATGGACTTGTGACAATATTTGATAAAGTTCATCGTTTTGTTTGTGTTTGCTTACGTAAGATAAATGTTGTGAAAATGTATTTTGTACTGAATTTTTACCGTAGACATATAGTGAATTTGCGATGAGTCAAGCCAATAGTATTACTCTTTAACATTACCACTAACAACAGAGAAGTACGATATCCTGGTTAATGTCTGGTTATGCATCACCCGATATACGGAAAAATATCTGATAAAGATCAGCACTGACGAGTGAGATCGCAAAGTCCTGCTCGTTACAGGTCATTTCATGTGTACGCACGTGTTTCTTAAAGGTCCGCTATGAGCCGTTGTGAATCGACTTTAGCTCATTCGACAGTCCATAATCTGTATTTGTTTTGTCAACTGAATACGAACATGAGTAGGAATGTTTCGAACACGATTTGGGTTCGAAGGTCGAGGGTTTGAAAGTTCAACATCTTATCCTTTAGGCAGTACTTCTTCCACGGAAGGTCAAAACTAACTGTAAGATCAACCAAATCTAAAAGTCTTCTGACCACTATTCGTAAATCTCGTAGAGATCCATTATGCTCATTTTCAGAATCTCCACGATCGATTATTTCTATCCTAACTTTTACCTACGACTTTATTTTATTTAGTGAGGTTCTATTTTACATAAATAGACAGACAAACGGACGCTCTTTTTATAGGATTAAACATTTGCAGTGGAAGAAAATAGTTAAAACTTATCTAGCGCTGTAACGAAAAAACGAGGTACTAAGAATTGTTGTATGTTTGCTTACAGGATGATGTACGAGACTCTGTTAAAGCTTCTTTCGGTTTGATCGTTGATACTATACGTGGCAGATTTACTGCTATAGTCTTCCATTGATATGTGGAGGGTCTAGCATAGTGACGGTGATTCTAAACAAGATTGCTTAAGCCACGCTCAAATTAATGATTTCTTAAAACATCAAGTGATGATGGACGAATTGGTGGTGAAGAAGCAAGAGTCAAAGATGGTAGTTCTAAAACTATCGGTTGTTGTTGATGCAAAATATTATCATCGACGCCTATATCATCAACCTCATTATTCTGATTACAATTTCTTTGTTGCTGTTGAATAGATGATGAAGAACGTAATGGCAATAGTGAGGTGGATGAAGCATTATTGTTGTTTAAACTTTAGAGCCGGCTTTTTTCGAGTTTTCAACAAAGGTTTAAATATGCCGCAGCAATCTGTGGTTGTTCTGCTTTACTTTGAGACGCTCTAATATCATCTGTTTTCATTTCTAATTCGCTTCTTACGATTTAAGAAGTTAACATTCCTAGTTTTAAAAGCCCGAATTTTGTGAGCAATTATGTTATGTTCCGTCCGCAATCCTTTACAAAAAAATATCCAGTGCTCGTTTATGAGTCAAGTGAGTTCAGATGTAAAATATGTTTTATTTAACAAAAACATTGTCAAATTACCAAAAACTGATTTCAAGTTACGGAGTTTTAGATCATGGAGTATAGATTCACTCAGAAACAAAAATGAGACTTGCACATTCTATCCAAAATAGTTTTATTATAAAACATACAAACATGTACATAAAGGGAGTTTTTCATCAATGTCATTTGTCGGTGTACTGCTATATTCTTAAGTTTATAACACAAAACGGAATCATTCTATATTAGCAGCAAAAGGTATCACAGCTTTAGACAGTAAAGGAAGCTAACAACTGACTTTAGAAAAATTGGATGTCGAACTTTCGGATTTCGAATTCGTCGAAATCAAACGTTCGGGTTCAAAACATCCGTAAACTCGATACTTTTTCTAAAACAAAAATTATGAAACAATTTATTTACAAGAGACGGGCTCTACGTGCACAATGCTCAGTAATTAAGCTGTACAGCACATGGCACTTCGTTGCACGACTCTCACTGATCAATTGTAGCGATGATACATATTCATTATGTGGGAAGTGAATTTAAGTCTTCTTAAGTTTTCAATCTCAAAAAATTTGTCTTCTGAACAGCATTTATTAATTTAAAAGAGTGAACATTGACTGATATGCAAACTAACTTCTCTGTAGGTTATGATCGACTTATTTATTTTGTTAATTGGATGTATTCTGCAAATAATGCCGTGTTTCGCTGTACAATGCTATGAGTGTACGCAATATGTTCCATGTGGTAACGGTCAAGGAGGGGTAGTCCCAAACTGTCCCAAATGTATGGTATATAAGAATCAATTTGACAGTGGTACGAGCAGATGTTTTAAATAAACGGTAACATTTTCCAATTATTCGAATTCTATTTGTTTGAGATACGATAATACGCCGATGCTGTTGGTACAATTGCGGAGAAGACAATTCTGTCCAGACATACGAAGGAAGACGAGCATTTTTCTGCAGCAGTGATTTGTGTAATGGTGTCGGCGCTGATAGAATGCTTGATACCGATAGTAATGGATCAACAGCAACGACAACAACAGGAACATGTAAGAATATGTCAGCGTCCAAACTCGGATTCAGGCCAATTCAGGACTGGCCTAGGCGAAATTAGGATCCTAGTTTGACCTAGTCCAAACTCCGATCTCACTTTCGCCTAACTTTTTCCTAGGCCAAACTAGGATCTCGGTTTGAACTAGTCTAAAGTCAGATTAAAAAGAAAATATCAGGCCAATCCGAGATTGGACTGAATTTTCAAGGCGAATCTAAGATTGAACTAGGCAAAAGTCAGATTCATTTTACTTCAGGCCAAACTTAGATTAATCTCAGATTGAACTAGGCCAAACTCAGATTCATGTTGTCCTCAAATCAAACTCAGATGACTTGTTGATCATTTCTAGTTTTAATAAAGATAGATAAGAACTCTTTTACAACATTCTGTTCGTACTTCATCGTAATTGTTAAATATGGGTGATAATTCACAAGAAATAATGACATTGGACTGTGATTTCCCAACAGTTATTATTGAGGGTGATAATAGTGCTAAAAGCGATACTGTAGTCAACGATGGATCTACAACCGACCCACGTGGGGATAATGATAGTAGCAACGATAACAGGGAAAAAGCATTCAATGCTAAAGTTGAAGATTATAAAAATGGTTTGTCATTATCAATGAGAGAAAAATCAACGATATCATATCGGTATGCTAGTAGAATTATTAATGCGTTAAAACATGAAACAGCTAGAAAGAAAGTTGGAATAGATTGTAAATTTCATTCCTGGTGTCGCCAAAAATTTTTTAAAATTGATATTAGTTCTGGGGTCGAAATGTTATGTTCGGCTAAAAATTGATGACCAGGAATGAAATTTGAAACACCAGGATCACTGAGATTAATCTAAGTTTGGCCTGAAGTAAAATGAATCTGACTTTTGCCTAGTTCAATCTTAGATTCGCCTTGAAAATTCAGTCCAATCTCGGATTGGCCTGATATTTTCTTTTTAATCTGACTTTAGACTAGTTCAAACCGAGATCCTAGTTTGGCCTAGGAAAAAGTTAGGCGAAAGTGAGATCGGAGTTTGGACTAGGTCAAACTAGGATCCTAATTTCGCCTAGGCCAATCCTGGATTGGCCTGAATCCGAGTTTGGACGCTGACAAATATATCTCACTCACTTTACGAATAGTATATGAGATTCTTTTACAATGTCTAGTAACTACCATCTCCCCATCAACGTCTTTAACATGTTATGAATGTTCGGATCATAGTGAGACTTGTGGCTCAGGAACTTCGACGCAAGTTCTCTATGGGTGTCGAGCGTGCATGGTATACCGAAATGCGAATGACGGCAGTAAGTCAGCAAAACATTAGATATTCCGTACAGTTTGTTATTGGTGTATTTATTTGTTAATAGATATGGTCATACGACGTTGTTGTACATCTGGTTGTGGCGAAGATGGGAAAACATCGGAGTTTGAAGGCAGAGAAGCCTATTTTTGTACATCAAATTTATGCAACGGTAAAGGATCAGAAAATAGTATTGGTTCAGGTGAGTTGGCTATTTTGTTCATGCTATACACTATATTATGGCATTTCATCTATCGTTCTTTCCGTCATTCCTACATCTTCAACAGCAACTCAATCTACTAGTACCTCTACTATTACAACTGCAACAACAACCGTACAAACTTCACTAGCATGCTATGACTGTTCCGGTTTCAATGAACAGTGTGGAACAGAATCAACACTAATATCCAATTGTAGGAGTTGTATGGTCTATCGAAATCCTGTAGATCAGAGTAAGTGATATTTTATTGTCTTGATTTTAGCACCTTAGTTTTTTTCGAAAATTTTTTCTATTTTTTCAGCTAAAATCGAACGCCATTGCTGTTATTGGAATTGTGGCAGTTCAGGCACTATAACTGAATATGATGGACGACCAACTTATTTTTGTTCAAATGACAGATGTAATGGAATAGGTGTAGAAAGTCTTTTGGAACCTACAGGTTTGTACTTGTAAATTACCTAAAATTTTTAGACATATTATTAAAGCGAAACAAACAGCATCGAACGAAAAAGAGTCTCATCGTTACATTACTACTTCTGCACAGGTCACCATGATGTGAAAGATAATCTATAAAATTATTTAAACTGATATCAATCAATTGAACGAAAGAAATCATTTATAGAAGATTGTCAATATTCTCATTAAAAATGCAATTAGGAATAGCACATTAATTTTAGTTGTTACAACCACGACTACCACGACCATCTCCACAACAACAACCATATCAGTGCAAACTTCATTTGCATGTTATGATTGTTCAGGTTTCAGTGAACAGTGTGGAACAGAATCAACACTAATATCCAATTGTAGGAGTTGTATGGTCTATCGTAATCCTGTAGATCAAAGTAAAACTTATTTACTGATGATTCTCAAAGTTAATACAGAATGTATGATGGAATTTTTCAGCAAAAATTGAACGTCATTGTTGTTACTGGAACTGTGGTACTCCTGGAAGCGTGTCAGAATATGATGGTCGGCCAACTTATTTCTGTACAAATGATAAATGTAATGGAATTGGAGCCGAATATAATTTAGGCTCACCAGGTAATTTATTTATTTGTTATTACCATTATATGCTATTATTATTTATCAGGAAATATTACTAAACGTGAAAGCAACTTTTTCTCATCTAGTAATAACAACAACGAGTACGACAACTAGCAGTGTGATCACTGTTCCAACCATAAGTGAGTTGACTACAATTCATGCTCTGATTAGAAAGTCAATAAATAGATCTTAATAATAGTGATTTTTTGATTTAGCCACTACCAGTACTACAACAACGGCATCTTTAATTGGTCCATGTATATTAAATTGTAAAAATGGGGGAACACTGGAGACGGTAGATGGGTGTTATTGTTATTGTGTAGAAAATACATCTGGAAAAGAATGTGAAACTAGTAAGTATGATATAATGCTTTCATCACACTTTTCTCGTCATTTTATTTCGGCTTTATATTTATGTTTTATTTATTTTAGTTGATTGCAGTAAACAAGATGAAAATGATGAAGCATGTAATGTAGGAAATAAACCGTTATGTTATGAAAGTGAAATATTCGTTCATGAATGTCGTCATTTATGTGAACTATGTTAAGATAGTGGCTGTTCATTTATAAATTTTAATACGAAGCAAAAATTCAATAATAAAGTTGTAGAAATAATTAATCAGCCCATTTATCCGGATAAAGCATCTTAATGATCTTGCGTGTATACTGTGGATCCATAAATGAGTTTAAGATTGTGATATAATGATAATAATCGCTGTCTTTATCCACACTTGTATCACCACCTTCCAGATTCATATTTTCAAATACGTCTAAGGGTAAATGAGTATCATGTGAGAGAAAATAATTTTTTTCATCTAGTAATTCTTGCTCATTATGTGTTTTGGACAAAAACGGGTTATAAGCTCGTCGGTTACCAAAACCACGTCGATTACGGAATAAACCATTAGGGTTGAAATAATACTGTCCTTTTCCACTATTTGTAGCAGGTAAGACATGTGAACTCGTTCGATAACAAAGTATAACAAATAAACAAAGCACAAATGTAGACAACAATGTTATGTTCATGATGATCAGCGTAACACTACAAGGAAAAGTGAATTAAATATTCAGTTCTTACGTATAAACACGTTCTGTATCTTAAACCTACTACCGTATATAAGTAGAATGATAGTCTGGTTGAAATATACTTCACTATCTCTCACAAGAGAGAGCTCCTGTGTCTTTGTTTAGAGTTGTGAAACAATTCGAAAATAGTCCAATTGTTTTTAATCCAATGTATCATGGAAATTTTAACAAAATTATAGTTGTATTTACTGGACGACATCCGTTGAAAGAGAGTCGATGTCATCTCCGCTAATTACAAGAACACTTTTATGTTGTATCTACTGAATTGTTCACTAACGGTCTAGGAATAAGGCGATGGATAGGCATGCACCAGCTTTTTCCCGTTTTACCAACAGTTTTTTCGATCTTTTATAGTTATATTTGAGAAATAAAGTTTTATAATTTTATTGAAAAATCAAATTTGTTGGGCAGACGTATCTCTACAGAACAAGACATTTAAAAACTTCATACCAATTTTGGATGTTACTTTATAACTAGTTTAAGACGGGGATGTTGACCAGTTTTTTTACCAGTTTTCTCTAACCAGTTTTTTTAAATTAAACTGCTTATAAGTTTGGAGTTAAACATGCTAGAAACTATTCAGATATCTCATTTTGTAAAGCGAGCTCTCGTGAACAAGAATACGCCTTTGGAAAAACTTTGAACCGCATTTCTGCGAAAACATGAACGTTTTTCCGAATATTGCTAAAAGAAATTGGCGCATGCTTATCGATGGGTAATTATGAGATTTGTTTGGTAAAAAAAATCAATTTTTACTTGCCTTTTTATAAATTCAAGGAAATGGAGTCTAAAAGAACACAATGTTTAGTTCCAAATAAATGAAATATAAATATCAGTAATCTTATTTACACATAGTATAAAACTCATGAATTCGATTAACTTATTAATCCTTTGATAAATTCTTTTATTATTTTGATAAATCACTCCTCTGCTCTCTTACTCCCAAACACACAATGAAAGAGAATTATAAATCAAGTATGGGTTTGAATTTTCTTCGTTTCCTTCCATATACTTTCTCTGCCTCTATTAAATGAATGATTTTGCGCTTTGTGATCTGCACAGAATTGACAAAAATGTTCATTATGTTTTATCATTAAATAATATATTAGTTTATTTGAATCGTTCATTCATCGATTAGTAAACGTGCCAATACTCTAATTATAATTTGAATTTTTGAATTTTTTTGATCATCGAAAGAAATATTTGTGATCATCAAATTGTAATCAGCATTCTGAAAATTATTCAGTTATCAGCCAACATACAATATTAAGAAAAACAACGTATTTACAAATGAAAAGCGGTGCTAACTTTCTTTGGACATCCTTTATCTTTTCATTTCTCTGATGATTAAAAAAAGTACATGTTTTATCACTAACTACATGTTCATAGAGATCAAAATTTTCATTCACAGTTATTTTAATAGTATTATCTTTATTCAATATGCACTCATTCCTAGTTACTGTTAATTGATTATTATTTATTCGATAGATTTTTGAGACAATTTTCTATGTAATATCGATTGAATGTTGATACACCAAATATTCTTGATATCGATTTTTCTAATTTTTTTAAAAAAATTCTTCCTTTTTACTACTATCTAACTTTAGTTTGTTCAGAATAAAACATAAACTATCATGAGTTGCTACTATTTTTGTTAATTTCTAAGATATTAAAACCATATGAAGATAAACCAGCAAATGTGAAAAATTTTTGATAGGAAGTATCGGAAATCTATTTTAATAATGATAGCGAAAATGTACATATTAGTTGATAAGAGCAGAGGGAAATTTGTCAATTCACCACATTCAACACTTTATCTGGCTTTTCTTTTGCTAAGAACAAGATGGAAATGTTAATGTCTCTTTACCATTCTACACATGACAAATGTGAAACAACTCATGCTCAGCTGCTAATCGTAAAAGAAAACGTTCCAGTTTATATCGAACAAATATTTCAATATTCTATTGAATCTCTATTTATCTGATAGAGATTGAGAAATATATTGTTAGGTTCCACCTAACTTGTATGAATCTTCACTTGTATGTACAAATCTTTATTAAGAAAGCCAAGGCACACCCTAGTACAGTATATGCCTGTGTATAGGCGAGAAAGAAAGGAAAAAAGAACGTAACAGAAAACATGATGTAATATATACAATGGTGTCACAGGATGGCATGATGAGATAGTGACTATATGAAATACATTTCCTGGAAAGGAAATGTTTCTTCTATATAAACACGCAGTAGTATACTGACGCTACATTCTCTCTGTGTATTTTAGGTTTCGTGACCTAACATATATGAATTGACTATTATTGGTTGAATAACACGTTTTGCCATCTTTATTATGAAAAAATTAATATATGGAGGGCGTTTCATCGATATTCTTAAGTTCATAAGCCTAATCTGAGGTTTCAAACAATGTTAGTTTATTTTAGTGTGTAGTTTTTCAATATTGACTTAAAATAACTCTGGAGATATCTTAAGCCAAAGCTTAAGGCAAGACATGTTCCACTGAATTTGCGTACGTAAGTTATAACGAAGACTTAAATTGACATTTAAGGTTGCTTACCATACACCAAGAATTAAGTCAACTCTTAACTAAGATTAAGCGTACACTTAAATATCCACGTCAGTTTAAGAGCTAGTTATGAATATTGACAAAATGCTTCTCTGTGACAATTAGACGTTCATACTGTACAGAATTATCTTGGTTTATCGCTTGCCTCATCTGCCAGCAATAGATGATCTGCAGAAAAATGCAGTGTGAAGATCGACAAATCATTTTTCGCACTACGGTTATTCTATCTGAGTTCGTTCTATGGAGTTTGAGACACAGCAGTTCAACACACTAAGGAGTAGGAATCAATTTCACAGAGTGGATGACAATTTTCTTTTTGAGTTTGTTTTCTAAATTTGACAATCGAAAAATGTAGATCTTTCTTTCTCAAATATTATCGGACACTGTTTAACACAGAAATGCATAACTTGACTAGAGCATATTTTTAGCTTTTTAAACACGTTCATAATTCCTAAGACTGTAGTGGTTATATATCATCAATTCAAAAAGAGAAAATATTTTACTTTAATTCCAGTTGTTTTCAAATGTTTATTTTTAAGTCGATGTATTTTGTGAGAACGAGGTCGAAAACAACAAACGGTCGAAAAAAAGGTAGAAATTATTATTAAACATCACAAGAAAAAATTGATAATTTAGAAGTAAATAATAAATTAGATTATATTTGATGATACATCTGAATGCTTCCGTTTTTTTTGCTGATTCGAATTAAAATATCAGTATATCGTACGATAACTGCGATTTTTATTAGGGCTATGTTAATTTGAAAAATGAATTTATTGCAACATCGACAAAAATTTATAGTCATACTTTTACCATTTATGAAAGGTAAGTACACTATTGATGAACTTTAAAAACTCATAGCTAATAGAAATGGAATGACTTTAAAGAAGACCTTTTACTGAACAACAACGTACGGATAATGAGATTGTTTAAATATAAAAATACAAGATATCCAGATTAAAAATATCCTTAGGTATCAATTCTAGTTCTCAAAAACACAAACTGTTTCGTTTTTATAGCTATCATTGCTTTATCGATGAGATCTGCAACATCAGATAGTAATCGTTGCTCTCATTTTCTTTCGTTTTTTAATAACGTTTCATTGTCAACGTTTTATTATAAAATAGAAGTGACGTGTCATAATGGCTGAAACAGCTTGCTGTAAACCGAACCTTACCGACTAATTTATTTTAAAAAAAAATTTATGATCGGTCATACTGACCGATTACTGTCCTCTGATCTGATTTAACGAGAGATTGTAACGAATCAAACATAACTGATAATAGCAATGGCATTCTTTTTGAACAGGTCGACTTTTTACCAATTGACGCAGACAGGATATGTTCGGCATTTTCAGTCGATTCTTTGTACACAACAGATGAGCTCTTTCCGGCTTCACTCTAACATAAAAGCAACAAAAACTGGTGATCCCAAACTATATCAAATAATAAATTAATCAACAGTGGTAAAGAGGCATAAGAAAAAATACTTTTAGCTGATGTTGAAAGTCCAGATTGAACAGAATTATTTCATTCGTATTGTTAAAGAACGTCAGAGGTGTTTATAGACAGTCTACAAAGTATAGTGTATGTTATTTATTGAATTATTTTACAAAATGAAATATTGTCTTTTTCTTTTAACTGCTCCTATATATAGGCGATTACTTTTTGTATTATGATATGAATATTGCTAACAAAACAAATATGAAAAGCAAGAAAATCAAAGCCAACATATACAAAATACTAAGAAATAACTGAGCAACTGTCAATAAACAATGATCAAAACCTGCTACTTCAATATGTTGAAATAAATACACATCGCACCGTTTATAAACGAAGAGTATATTCACTGGAAGAGTCTACAGATGACAAAGAGGAATAAT